ATTTATAGCGAAACTTTGACCACAGTCGTAGTTTTGTGTAGCTTGGAAGTGACACCTAGCACTTTCTCACAATGAATCAGGCGCGACATCTGGTTTCTTAGAAAGGAGAAAAAATATAAAGAGCCAGCACTGCAAAGAGTAATGTAGATACCCGCGAAAAAGAAAATGTCCTTCGTCACGGGTCATGCTCTAATCTTGATATTCAGTTTCATTTTCGAAGTAATATTTAGAATAATATTCGGAGTAATATACGAAGTAATTCGATATTCGGAGCCGTTGAAACTTGGAATGATCGATGAATGATTTTGCTGATAGTTTGTTGATATATCGTGTAATAAATCGGATAATTTTATCGAATAATTATCGAAGTAATGACGAAAGAAGAGAGAACACACGTGTACGATAATTCATTAAAACATTTTTGAAAGTTTAATTCGGACAGCTTGTTTCAAGCAAGTGTAAAAAGGAATAAAAGAATTAAACTGAATTTGTATTTGCTATCGAATCTTTACTTTACCGACATCCATTCTGAAAATCCTAGAGAGCAATCGATCATTTTGAATTTGCTATCATTGCTTTTTCCATTTAATTAATGGATTATTCGTAATCGGTATGTCTTAAACAGTACACACTCAAATTTTGATAAAAAATTCGATTACTGATGTTTCAGACAGCACAAAATACTAAATGATAATGAAAAGAAATTTTTTTTTTTTTTTAAGTTGTCTTTCCGACAAAGCGAAAAAGTGTCTAAAACATGACGAAAAGATATTGTTTTTAGATTGTCTTTTCAGCAAAACCAAAAGATATCTATAAGAATATTACATCTTTTCGTCATCTTTCTATGGTTGTCATTTTCGCAAAAGGTCGACTAAAAGATATCTTTTCATATTGCCGAAAAGACAACAAGATCTTTGAAAAAGATCTTTCCGTTATTTTGGTTAGATACTATTTTTTATCACTTATTCGCGAGCAATACGCGAGATCGCCACTAGATGGACGTGATGGAGTTTAGTTTCTCGCGTTTGAAAATCATACAGGACAGAACAAAAAGTGCAGCATTATGAGAAATTTTACTCGTGTTCCAATGAATACTAATAAATATTTTTTGTAATCCCCCCAAAGGGGACTACAATGATGAAAGATAATGAGAAGACTTGCACACAAGAGAACAGTAAACATCGCAGAAAACGGGACGTATTGTCAGTCAATTTTATTTCGTTTTGTGTAAAAATTAATTTAGGAATTCAATGTATTGAACGTTATATATATCAAAATATAAAAACCAAAAGAAATATTAAAGATGACTAAAAGAAATCATCCTTTAGTTATATAGATAAGACTATAAGATGACTAGCAATGCGACATCTGTCATCTTTTCGTTATATTCTTTCACTAAAAGATATCTTACATTATAACAATTTAGTTGTCTTTTAATCATCTTTTAGACTTTGTGCTCTCTGAGATAACTAAGATAATTCTACGTGTAAAACTTTATGTTAAAAGACATTTAAAATCTCCTATTTCCATAATCTGCCATTTTTAATAACAGATTCACAATGAGTGACCCTTAAAATTTTTATATAACAATTATCAGAGGTTCATGATAAATTCGTGGTATATGAAAATTCGACTTACAAAAGAAGATACGATACAACATTAAAAACATCTACTTTTCCTGCATTTTTGGGATATAAAGCCATTTTTACGATTTTATTTTCTAAGATTTCACAGAGATCAAAATCGGACTTCGATTTTAAACAGCATTCTTTACTCATTGGATATACTTGAGTCCTCAGACAACACAAAGTATCCAAAAGAGAAATATAAAACATTGGTGTCTAAAAGATGTCTTTAAGACGTCTTATGTCTCAATGTGTTGCCTGGATCATTAGCTTCCTTCATCCATTATAAAACACAATATTTGTTTTTTCTTTTTATGAAAATTCATTATTCAAAATTTAAGAAAATAGAAATAGAAAGATTTGAATTTGATACTTTACATCAAACAAAAATTAAATTATTTTAAAATAAAATATGTATTGTATAGATTTTAACCAAAACAAATAAAGAAGTATGAAAAAATAAAAGATTTTATTTACTGTTTTAATTATAAGTTAAATAGAACATCATTTTATATGTCAAGCTGACTTTTTCGAATTCTTATTCATTTTCTGTAAAGTTTAGAAAGATCTCTATATTAGCCAAAAATCTTTACAACTGCATATATTCGTATTATATGCATGTAATATATGCGTATATTAAACTAATACTACTCAAACAGCACAGAATGTATGATAAATATTTATTAATAAAATTCATTTTTTTTTAATATTGTATAAATGGATATTTCATACATATTTCATATAAAACTTTATTCGAAATATTATTAAAATATAAACTATTTTATGTAC